CGGTCCATCGGCTGCATGCGATCTGCAAGTGCACAGAGCTCTTTCCCCACATGAAATTCAAGGAAGCTGAACAACAGGTCGCCAAAACCCAGGGGCAAACCACAGTGCGCCCACACTGGTGAAATATAATGTACTGCGAATATATACAGTATAGATATCTACATAGAAAATAAAACATAAAAAACGGTTAAATGTCTGGTGTCCTGCCGAGAAGCAGGGCTTAAAATAATAAACACATACACACATTATGTATATACTGTATGTTACAGTTCAAATCCCAGATACGTTTTTAAAATTACGCTGATTTCACATGCTGTCTTAGGCCAGGGGAATGACCGAATTTCAGACCTTTGCTGTAACACATTATAATCGTGACTTTATAAAACTCCTCTGCAAACAAATCATTGAGTAAGACTGAAATAACTGGGCAAGCAACTACAGTAAGAAGTGATCCGAAAATAAAAAACAGAACAACATTAAAAAAAAAAAAACTCTCTTCATAGGTGAACACAGGCCATCTGGAGGAGGCAGGCATCTCTCCTGTCTCTCCCATCTCTCGCTGCGGGGCTCAGTACACAGAGTTGTTCCGGATGCCGCAGCAGAGCACCATGCTGAAAATCATCTCGAAGATCTGCGGGGACAAGGCGGTGGGGGCGGTGGGGTCAGAGGTCAGAGGTCGGCCGTTGGAGGTCAGAGGTCAGAGGTCAGGGGGCGGGGCGGGGGGCAGACAGGCGGCTCGGAATACGCACCATGATCACGGCCACGATCAGAGCGGCGATCCCGATCAGGTACAGCTTGGTGGAGAACAGCTCCCTGATCCGGTCATGGCAGTTCTGTGGGGCCACAGAGAGCTGAGTGAGGCCGGGCGACTTCGCTGCCCGCAACAGTGTGCATCCAGACCCGTACAACAGAGCACCCGACACAGCTGCTCTCAGTGACCTCTCAGGCCCACTGGCCAGGACTATAGACTATGGCCGGACTAAAACCCCAGAGTCTGAGAGCAAGTATGCTGAAAACCCAGCAACAGGAGTCGGAGAAGACAGAGACAGAGTCAGGTGGAGCCATTTGGAGAAAGCGGCAACTCACCACCATCATTCAAATCCGTGCTATATGGGGTGTTTAAGATTCTGGTGATATCAAGAAATATATATCTAAAATATAATAATATATATAAGAAAAATCAGAAAGACAAGAGCTCACTTACCACATTTGTGATGACGTCCTGTACAGATGTTTTGGGACAAATGTCGGAGAAAACCATGCCCACAAACGCTGTCGCCGCGCCTTTACCGCAGCACTGCAGCTGAGGGGAGAGAGGATTCCAAGAACTTTAACTCAGGCTAGAGCTTCTCCACTTCAAATACTGCACACTGCAGTGGCACCATGCAGCCATACAGGACAGGACTCCTGGCAGGGGGTCACTGACGAGGTCAGAGTCAGGTGGAGACAGAGTCATGGAGGACAGAGACAGAATCAGGAGGAGACAGCGTCGGCGTCACTGTGGACAGAGTCAGGTGGAGACAGAG